CAAAGTCCCTGGAGCGAAACATTGGCTTTCTCAACAACATGGCAGCTGGAAACCCGTCTTGCTAAAGAGAGAAGACTCAATCATTACAGTTAGCAGTAGGATTAGGGTTCTTTTTACAGTATAGCAAAGACAAGTCTTCCGAAACTTGAGGTCAATCTGATTGATTTATGTTTATTCCCAGAAACGTGGAATGTTTTGCAAGGCGAAAAAAGGTTTCACAAGAACCTTAAAGCGGATTTGTGGTAGGAAGGAAATAAGGACAGTATGAGATCAAGAGGGGGGGGGGAGGTATCTTAGTCCAGTAATTGGATTTCCCTCGATTCTCCAAAGTATCTGTCACAGTAAGGCCTGAACGCAAACATCAGTTTATGTCCAGCAGCGATCCTGTAACTCCCCACACCCATTTTCCATTGTGGCTTTACTCTCGCTAATCTGCCGTAACACCCCAAATCCCCCGGAGAAAGGGGGACACGGTGTTTGGACCCCAGATTTAGTCCGTCAAAACACCGGAGTGCCACACCAGGTAACATCCATATGGGGTCAGTGGGTCAAGTTTGAGAAGCTCTGATTGAGTAAGTCCTTCTAATGGGATTGAGGTCATTAGAAGGGGCAAACGTCAGGTTAAAGCGCCAATTAAATCTCATTATGGAGCTGTGTGACGGGCTTTTCTGGACAGTTGACGACAACAACAGGAACCGTCGGCGGTGCCCTGCAGGCCAGGTGGCTCGTCTGCTGCATGGGTGCCCTCCTAACGGTGATTAAGGCGCTGCATGCAGCATGCCAACACCAGAAAGGCCCACCTGGCCTCGGGCGCAAATCAGACTTTATTTGGCTTCCATTAAAAGGGACCAACAATGTGGCATGCGGATATAAAATTACTCAATCTATAATGGTAATCATTATGCCATTTATCAAAATTGGCCAGTTGAATCAACATCTGGCTTCAATAGGAAGCTCTTGTCGGTGAGGGTCTTGGCAGCGTCTTGTACCCTACATATTTTCCATTCTCTTTTATCAAGGCCTGCTGTCAGTGATTTGACGAAGCTAAATAGATGATGATTTGGTCTTATTATGTTTCACAGAGCTCCGGCGAAAGGAGATTTGTTGATTGCCTTTGTGTGTTTGTCCATTTCTTCCTCCTCTTCCGCGTACCGACTCCGGGGGAAAATAACGGAGAATAACGGCGCCTCACGGCTCCGCTGCGTACCGAAGAGGGGAGGGAGGCAAAAAGCACAGCGAGTTCTCTCACACCGACCTGCGAGCGCAGAGGCTGGACCGCACCGTTGGACCCGAGCCAACGCCAGCACAAAGAGCTCTGTCACGTCTTGAGGTTGAAACGGAGAAACATAAAATTTGTCTTGCGTGCTGCTAGAATTAAGTCGAGGGATTAATCCATTTCCTCTTTTGGCACAAAATTGTGACTTTAGCACACTTTATCTCGCAGGAGGCAAACACAGTGGACTTTGTTCAGATTTATTTCGTTAGTGTTTACTTATGTAGATCTTAAATTTCTGGTATGATTACATAGCACTGCAACAAACACATTTATGCTGGGATTATGGGAGAAATGTACTAATACTTGTTGGCATTGAAGAATAAGTTCATTTACTTTACCAGGAAGCGGCCGAGGCAGAGTTTCTGTTTAGTGATCTCGACCATATGTTTTTAATAAAGGTTAAAAAAAATTACATGAAGGGTATTTTTGTGATTACAAAACAAGACAAATCATTAAAGATCTTGAGAGTCGTTTTGGCCGTACGTTCACCACTGTCCCATGTTTTTTCCACGTCCGTACAATGGCTCTCGGTAAAGTTAATCACATTATTTAACGGGTTTCAGGTTGGTTTCAATCGACAGAATCATGATTTGAAAACTTTTATTTTATTCCCTGATCATTTTCAGACTAAGAAATTTTCCCCAGCGTTTGGTCACTGCCTTCACTTTTATCCTACAAATATGATCGAGTGATTTTTTTTTTTTTGTACTCTTGTCTTGCCTGATACTTTTCTAACCTGTCTGCAAACCCCTGGCTTCAGCTACAGATTAAGAGATTAGTGAATGTCAGGAAAATCCTGCTGACACAGACAAACTTCTTACAGGTTTAGTGTAAGCTAAAGAAAAGTAAATGCTGAAGCTGAAAACAAGAAAATGCTTCGATACGGCTTTCGTTTAGGGATTTGCCTCATTATACAACACACTTATTGCCTCTTTTTACTTTTTAAATATTTTTTCCAATAGCAAATTTATTGTTTATAGTGAGATTGATAGTTTTGAAATGATTTATTATGGTCTCGTCTTTTTATTTTTCAAAAACTGGAGAGACAATACTAGATGTCAAACAGCAGTTACCTTTATCTACATGCTGGGTGGTTAATTAACTTAACTTGAGTAAAACCTTTGAATTTCTCTTGTTTCTTTAGCTTTATAGTGGAATCCATGAACGTTTGACACATCCTGTACTGAATATTTATAGTTCAATAGCTAAATATGCATTAATACACATAGTGAAAACCATTTTAGTGGTACTACAGTATTTATTTTTTTTTATTTACTCTCTTGGATGTACAGCCAATATAAAACCAATGCTGCTCCTGGATTGGCTGCTTTGTAAACATTAACCAATAGCGTGTCAAGTAGCGATGCACGCAGTCATGTCAGCTTCTCAAACATTTTCCTTTCCATTTGTCCTACAAAAAAATCAGCTAATACACAAATTTTACTCAAATACTTCAGAGTCACAGAAAAAAATCCACAAAAACTGAACTGCGAATAAATCCGGTTTTTCTGTGTTTAAATGTGATTGATATAAATACCTATATTGGATTTTACCATAACTTTGTGTCAAATTAATTACCTAAACACGATAACGACAGATTTTTCCCCTCTGGGATTTCTGATGAGCACCAAAACTTTTAACTCAAGAGCTTTAACAAAGACACAACCAAAATCTTATCCTGCATGTGTTTGCAAAAAAAAAAGAGAGAGCTTGGGGAATGAATGAGGGATGTCCAAAATTAAAAAGAAAACAGCTCTGATCCTAAACGCCACTCTTAGCTCCAGTATTCCCACACAAATTAGCATAAATTTCATAGTCTAAGTCATGGGCCATGTTATTAGCCTATCTTTAGGTGGAAGTACAGGCCGATCACGCTGGGGCTCGTTGTTATCTCATTGAAAGCGCCCTGGTGTTACACCCCGCCGATTGACAGTGGGTCTTAAGATCGTGGGATTTGTTCACATATTAATTCATGTCTGTTTAGATGCGCAGAAAAGAAACAGGTGTTCGGTGTTTATGTGCGTCAGAGTGGGAAAGGAGTTGTGTGTCGTCGTGTTTTTGTCGTGATGTTTGTTTGAAGGCGCACGCGGGGATGCTTGTGAGCGAGTGTGTGTGTGTGTGCGCGCGCGTCGGCGTGTTTGTTTGTGTGTGTATGAATTGACAGAAGGGTGGGGGTGCTTTATTGAAAAGTACTCCTCTCCTCCCCTGTTCAACATGCTGGATTAGCACCAGCAGTTTCCCATGGAGCTGTCCCTCCCAGCCCCCCACCCATTTGCATAAGGCGCAGACAGGCGGAGATGTGACAAACAAACCTGGCACACACAGCGCCGGCTGCCTTCTTTACATGAACTCTTTCACTCACTCCCACCGTGACAAGAAAGACGAACAGGACAAGCGACCAGAGAAGCCCACCTGTGCAACTTCTGCAGAGTAAAACGAAAAACAAGAAAAGTTTTAGCGCCCAGGCTGTGCAAGTCTGGGGCCGCAGCCAGATTCACTGTCCTAACAAAGTATCTGCTTCCTGCACGGATTCTTTTGTTTTCATAAATGTTAAAGATAATGAAATTAATTTTAACATCGGTTTGTAAACAGACGCCCAACCATTCTCCTTCAGGATTATCCTGGTTGGTCTACCGCCATGTTTGACTGGAGGTATGATGTTAGCTTTTTTTTTTTAAATGCTGTTGTCCTGTCAGTTCACAGACTATTTCCCCAAAGGTCTTAGAGATCATTAAGACATTGAGATTTAGTTATTTTTTGTTTCTTTTTGGTCACTCTAATCCAGAGGTGTCGAACTCAGTTTGATTTTGGGCCAAATCAGGATCATGGACGCTCTTAAAGGGCCGGTTCTGCTAGAACGTGTTGCTGAAACCTGTAAACTAACTGTTAAAATATCCATACGTTCTCAAAGTTAACTAATATTGAACGTCTTTTCAGTCCCTCCAAGATTTCACAATTGTTTTGGGGATTTTTTGCAATTAGTGCAGGGATTTGTTGATTTTGTGTGAATTGTCACAATAAAGCGGAGGGACCGATTGGTGTAATTCGGCAGTAAACGGATAAAAACTGCTTTGATGTAATTGATAAAATAATATTTAATAACACTGTTATGTGACAGCTCTATTTATGTGTCACTTTAGAGTCTAGAGGGCCACATGAAGAGCCACGGCGGGCCAGATTGGCCCCCGGGCCTCGAGTTTGACACGTGCTCTAATGGATGCCAATCCTCTTCCTCATTCTGACCTCAGCTCAAGCAAATGAGCTTTCCAAGCTGTTCTTGTGTCTTTTGTGACTTCCTAGGTGAGTGGCTGATGTGCTCTTTTATTCATTTTCGTAGTTCTGTTCACCTTGTCTCCATCTTAGGATAATGGCTCCCACTGAAGACCCCAAGGCCTTAGAAAGTGCTTCTCAGACTGACAGACGTCAATACCGTTGTTTGGTGCGAGATGTGTTGCTTGTTGAGGTATTTTAGCCTGATTCATGTTGAAACACAGGTTCTGTTTGAATCATTTCATGTAGTGAAAGAATTGAACATGTTGCTTTTGTTTTTTTTTTGTTTTTTTGCAACACCTGTTCTATGTCCACATACACATTATACATCTCTGTAAAGCTAAAATCTTGAGATTTCAATAATGTGTGCCCGTAAAGGACACAGTCATATTTGTAGACACGGTAAGTGCTTTCGTCAAACAACTCAGAAATACTAAAAAAATGTCCAACTCACCATCCGAAGCCTCTCATTGACAGAACAGATCCATCTCAAACCAAAAAAAGTTCAATTAATCCACTTCAAGAAAAAAAAAAAGTTAGTCCTCAGCAGGTTTTATCCCCATAATCCAATGTAATCATGCAAACTTTCATTTTCTTTCATTTTTAAGTGTTTTGTGTGAAATTTAAGAGCTTCTGACAATGTGACATTTTGTTTTTGTTTGACTCAGGACCAGATTAGTTTCCTTTACAAATGAAATGATCATTTAAGAACTGCTTTCTTTATTTGTATTTGTCAGGGAAAAGACTTTAATTTGACGATCTGAAACACTGAGGCGTGACAAAAAGAAAAAGAAAAAGTCTAAACCAGTAACTGACGCTGTATAAATAGCCTATAGCCATCGCAGCAATCATAGTGATTCACAAGTAGAGGAATGCAAAAGGCCAAAGGAGGTGAGACAGGCTTTCATAGCTCTGTCATTTACTCAAAAACTCCCCTCGAATCAAAGTATCCTCCCCCTGGCTTTTCTCTCCTCCACCAAGATGGTAATGTTCACCTTAAAACATCTTTACTGTACCGTGGCTGCATAACGCCGCGCTCTGCGCCGCTGTATGGCCGCCAAGTTCCCATCAAGCGCCTGATTTATGGTGCCTGATGCATTCCTTGGCCCTGCCGAGGAGGCAGTTTAGCTGAAATATGAGAGCAGATGCAGAGAACACACTCAAAGTGAATTTGACTTTGGGCCCCGGCCTGTAAAACTGCAAAGCCGATGCAGAACTTGAAGGTTTTGTTTGTGCAGAAACACGCCGCAGAAAGTATTTCGGCTATGTGACGTGTTTGGTGATAGCAAAAAGAGTCTTTTTTTTTCACTAGATGTGGAGTTCAGCTTTCACCCTGTAAAATTACACCAGCATTAAAAAGTACACCTCCTTCCTTTTTCCTGTCATTTACATGCACTAAATTGCATACAGGTGGGTATAGGATAAGAGCCCGACACCTTTTCCGTCAGATTTTCACCAAATAGCTCTCTTGCTTGTACCGCAAAGGCCTGTAATCAATCATTACAACTTCACAAAGCACTTTGTCTTCATTTGGGCCTTAAAGCAAAATTGCTGATAAACTAGAAGCAGATAAACAGAACCAGGCATTAGTGTGCGAGGGAAAAAGTCGCCTTATGAGGCGGTTTTCTGCAAGCCTGTGCTGCTTTGTCTGCTCCCGAGTTACAACAGCGTGATTACATGCTTTATTAAGTGCTGAAGTGCTCTCTCTGAGTAAAAGCAGATGTCACCACAAGGTCTGTCACTGAGTCTGGATCTGGGTGCCTGTGGTCAGTGTCTCGGCCCGCTTTGCGACTCGCTGCGGTTTCCCTGCAGCTTCAGCGCACAGAATCGTCACCGAGCGAAGTGGCTGAAAGAAGTTCAGACCGGCAAAAGTCGCTGTATGTTTCAATTTCCTGAGACAAACGCGGCGCGACTGTGCAGAATGAGATACGTTCAACGGAGGGAACAGACTCAAGTCCTTTAATGTCTGGTGAAAAACTAGAGAAAACATCATGACGGCTTTTATTGTAACGATCACCACAAGGCTGCTGATCATTATCAAGGTGCCACAAACATTCAGACCGCTACAAGCATCATCAACCCACCTTTCCACAATTTTACACCATTATCACAAACTTCAGTGAGTTTAAACGAGGTTTTAGAGTCAGAAGTCCACATCTAAACTCATTTGAGAATTTGTGGCAAGATTCACAAACTGATGATCGGAGATTTTCTCCATCCGGTATCACCGATTCTGAGCTATTTTGTAATGAAGAATGGGCAAAAACGTTGGTCTCTTGATGTTTCTACACTTGTTGAAACATACAAAAAGGTGATTTGACAAAGCTTTGATTCAGGGAACACAACATATAATTTCCCCCTCATATTCTTCTGTATTTCTTCTTCTTAAGGTCAGTGAAAGCCTGCACATTTTTTGGAGAACAAATCTTAATGACTTTCATTTCTTTTTCATAGTTACCCACTACTTTACATTACAGTATTTGCCAACCCTGGTCCTCAAAGCACGCTGCCCTGAATGTTCTTCTTCTTGTGGCTGGCAAAACACTAAATGGTGCATTACTGACACCAACTGGTAAGAAATGTTTATACTGTTTTACAGTAACACTTCATCTACTTCAAAATAAATTAATTAATTTATTAATAAATAATAAATTAGTATTAATTAATTTTGATCTACTTCAAAATAAATTAATACCTGCTTCAATTTTAACCAACAGATCTAAAGTGGTTTTGTTTTGTTTAGAATATTATTAAGTTTTATTTGATGGTTTCAGCATCAATAAATTAAACAATTTTAACATTTAAAGGAATTGAAATGTTTATTTTTGTAAAACTTTAAAAAAAAAAAAAAAAGCTTCATAGTTTGATTGTTGTGTTGCCATGGTTACAGTCTGGCGCCATGAGTTTAACCTTTGTGTCTGATCACGGGTTTCCCCAAAAACACATCTCAGCAAATATTAACCAATTATCTCTGATTACTTTAGGCTCCGCCCCCTCTGTCAGATGGGGGTGGAGCCTAACTCTGTTCTCATCAGCAAATGTAGCTTTATGTATCTTTTATTTCCTTCTTCTTCCCATTGGTTCTGCCAATGCAGAAAACTTGGTCGTTTGCTGCTTTAGCAAACCGGATTCAGATGATTAGGAACAACCTGTTAATCAGCCATTGATTGAAGTCATGTGTGCTGAAGCAGGCGGGCGTCTAAAACACAAAGGGCAGTGTGCCTTGAGGACCGGGGTTGAAAAACTGGTCTAAATTCAATTAGACATCATACTCTGCAACTAATTTGTGTAATGTGACAAAAATCTGAGAAGTTCTAACAGATCGCCGCACCCTGCAGATGGAGATCAAACATGTCTGCTGCCATGTTTAGCTTAATTAAACATGTAAATAATCTGCTTAAGGTAAGCCACTAAAGCTTGTGCTCTCTTTTCTAAAAGTGCATTTTCATTCTATTTATAAACAAGTGAGGGAGGGTAATAACCGACATGCTGCAGGTGTGACGGATAGAAACCAGGTGTGTGTGAGTGAAAGGCAAAAAGCCGAGTTAAAATGATTCACTCATTCACTGGACAGTTCACTACAGTAATACCTGCCTCATTCATAAATAGCATAGAACAAGGAAGATAGAAAATGTAAATATTTTGGTTTTCACCAAATTTAAGAGTCTCCTAATTGTGGAGGGAAATTATTTGAAAAGTTCCTAAATAAACAAAAATGTAATTTTATTCTAAAAAGCAATCACTGCGAAGTTTAAGTCACACAATGCTCACCAACATGACGTAAATAACTTTCAGGCAAAGTTAATTTGGTTTTGGACATTTGAGTAAAATAATAATTCCCCAAAGTGAAATTATACAAATGCTGTAGACAAAAGTATTTGGTCCCTTAAAGTTTGTTTTTTTGTTTTCTTGTCAAACTTAAATGTTTCTGATCATCAAGCAGTTTTCAGAAATGAGTTAACTTTAATTTAGGTTTGGAAAAACCTCTCCAAACCAACCTGGAACTATCTCGAAACAACAATCACAGTATTTTATTTTAATATCACTATTTTATACAGATCTGTTGCTGCCAAAACTGTAGACTCAACAAATAATTTAAATGGAACCAGTCTGACTGCATGAAGTAGGTGAGAAGATTGGAAATAGTCAATTTAAAAAAATTAAAAAACAAATCAATACTTCAATTATCTATGATTAAACATTTTCTATGCTAAAAATAATTACTGTGGGGAATAAAAATCTATTCACGGGGGGAAAATATAGTTTAAAAAATTATTTTTTTATTTTTTTCAAGAAAAAGATCAAATTTAACAGGAACCTGTTTAGGCATTTCGGGGAAACTTTCACCTCAGTTGCTGTAATATTAGCACTTCTTTGTTTATTTTGTTTTTGTTTTTGTTTGCAATGAAAGCCACTTAATTTATTGAAAAAAGTTAGATATCTGCTAAAATTTCTGGAAACACTTGAGACCTAATGCTTTTCTGTCCAAAATTTGAGAATCTTAAGGTCCATAGCACATAACTGTAGACATAAAGATCATTGATGGAGACCAACCAGTCTTGGAAAATGCTGCCTCAATCTCCATCTTGGTCTTTGAAGATCCAATCTTTATGACTCACTCACTGTTGCTTCTTATATTTGTCATGCAACCATTGTGAAACGAAAACTGGTGAGTCCAGTTTAGAGATCGCGTACCCATGTGAGGCTGCGTTTGACAACTTAAACTGTTCAGGTTTGTGCTAAAGTAAAGTTGTTCACCAGTTGCTCTGTGAGAAATGGTCAGACAGCTGATCAGGTTTCCGTAACCTTTAAGCTTTGATGACCACACACACTAAATCCTGACGCTAAAGCGCAGTAGCGAGGGGGAAAAAAATGGTTTCAAGGGAAGGAATCAACATTTATTTAAAAAAAACCCTCTTTGCCATATGCGCTGCTTGTGGGAGAAAACAATGTATTGCATTTACGTCTCATTATATCAATTAATCGTTGCACATCTGTAAGCGTGTATCCTCATTTTGGGGTCTGTTATGTATGTTTGTGTTACAATGGTGCGTTGGTTCTTTGGCACCTGCGCCGCATTACAAAGCTAAAGGCTTGGATAATATGCTGCAGGTGCAGTCCTGGCAAACGGGGAGATGGCAGAGTGCGAGTGTTTGTTTGGAGGGAGGAGGAGAAAGAGGAGGAGGAGGAGGAGGAGGAGGAGGAGGTCACCTGCTGTTGATGGTTGGCACTCAACATTAGAGCAAACGGATGACGTCAACCTAGACCCTCTACCTCCTGCGGACTGCGTGTTCGGAGGACCTTTCATCTCCGGAAACAACACCTCTTCCACAAAGCTGGCCTCACAGAGCCCGACGCAGGAACCGAGGGCTCTTTCTGTCCATCCTGCCTCCCCATCTGCAGCGCTGTCAATAATTATTGAAGGTAATTACGACGCCGATTTGGAGCGTTCTTTTATGGCTGCGTTGGCAGATCTGCAAAG